GAGGAGGAGGAGGAGGAGGAGGAAGAGAAAAAGAAAGGACTAGCAAACTGGGTTCAGGGGCACACACTGGTGATCCCAGCACTCGGGAGGATTGCCAAGAGTTTCAGACCAGCCTGGGCTACATAATGATCTCAAGCCCAGCCTGAACTACATAGCAAGAACCTGTCTTAAAAGAAAGAAAGAAAGAAAGAAAGAAAGAAAGAAAGAAAGAAAGAACGGACTAGTGAGCCAGGCATGGTAGTACATACACACAGCACTCAGGGCTGAGGTACAAAGCTCACTGGGAGTTTGAGGCTATAGAGTGTGTTCCAGTTGCCAAGCACAACAGTACTTGCCTATAATCTCAGCACTCAGGAGGCTGTGGGAGGGGAAGTTCACTGGGAATTTGAGGCCAGCCTGGGCTACCCAGTGAATTCAAGGCCAGCCTGAACTATTTAGCGAGAGCCTGTCTGAAAAAAGTCCAAATACCAAAACAAAAAGCTGAGCATAGTGGCACATGCCTGTAATCCCAGCACTTGGGAGACTGAAGCAGGAGCAGTGAGTTCAACAGATAGCCTGGGGTACATAGTGAGTTTAAGATAAGCCTCAACTACATGAGACTGCCTTAAAAAAAAAAAGAAAGAAAAGAAAAGAAACCAAGCCCCCCCCCCAAAAAAAAAAGCCACACACAGAGGTGCACACATATAATTCCAACACTCAGGAGGCTGAGGCAGGAGGACCACAGAGACTTCAGGGCGAGTCTGGGCTATATAAGCAAGTGTCAGGCTAGCCTGTGCTACACAGCAATACCTTGTCTCAAAACCAAAAACAACAATAAGAAAAAACCCGTTACACCATCTAAATTTTTGTGGATTATTTTCCTCTTGCCCCATTTCCTCTTTAACCCCTTCTTTCCTTTTTAAACTTTCCTTTACCTCCTTTTAGTTCCTCATTTCTATTCTAAGTTCTTTCTATTTCTCTTCTTGGTCATTAGAGCCAACATAATACCCTTTCATGACAATAGAGAAGGATGTACTAAGGGGACTATACCAAGAGTAGCATTCCTATCAACAACTAACAAAATCCACAACTATCTAAGAAATCATTCAATACCTATTGTAGACAAAATACTAAAATATGAAGAGTGGCTAGGATTTAACAATCTAACTAGAGATTACACAAAAATACACAAAAGGATAAAAAACAGCTGTCAGTAGACTGCAGAACATGATCTAAAAAACATATACATGACTATATTGTTTGACCACAGAAGAAAGAATCTGACCACTGTCCTAGGGGTTGATCTCAAGGAAACTATTAGGGAAAGTATAAGTTAGAATCTAAATGATCCTTGAGAACGTAAAAAGATAAGGTGGTTCAATCCCTGGTACTGCATACCATGCTAGTGCAGGCCCTGCACCGAGATGCAATGAGCTGGGGACCCAGTCCAGGCACGGTGGCCCAAGCCTATAATCCCAGCACTGGAGAGGCTGAAAACAGGATTGCTACGAATCCAAGCTGCGTAATGAGACCCCGTACCAAA